AAAAGAAATTTTGGGGGCCAGGGATATAGCTAAATGGTATAGCACCTACATGGCAAGGACAAGGTCCTGAGTTTGATTCCTGGTACAAAGACAAAACAAAATAAAACACCTATATAGTCTCTCAGTAAAGCCGTGAAGAATCGGTCGATATTATCATGCTCACCTGCTTTGCACATGTAGAAGGTGCCTGTCAGGTTGGTTTCAATCACAGCATGCCATCCCTTTGAGCTGATGTTTTCAACAGGAGACAAGAACTGGCCTCCACCATTGTTTACCAAGAAATCAATCTTACCATAAAGCTCTAAGGTAGATTTCATCAAATTATTCACCTAAAAAAATTAAAAGTTCAATAATCTGATTTGCTACTTAGACCTATTACCTGTTCTCTCAGGGTGGACAGAGCTTGCAGTCTTTCACAGTGAGCAGTAACCCTGAGTACCACAACCATGAATATGAAGTCAATACGAATAAACGTTAAAAATTTATTCTGATGAATAATTGCCAGTGTTCAATACCTAATGGTCATAAAAATTGTACATTAAAAAAATCATGTATGTGGTATAGGGTCTCACAATGCAGCTTGGACTCATAGTGATCCTCCTGTTTTCAGCTTCCCCAGCGTCGGGATTACAGGCATGAGCCACCACACCCGGTCTTGGTGGCCAGCTCGACACTCCTGGGCTAAGGCCGGCACAGCATGTGGTACCAGGGATCCACGTGGTACCAGGGATCTGACCTGGGTACTTGTGCTTGCCTAGGCGGGTGCTTAGATTGCTGAGCTATCCGCGCAGCCTAAGAATTGTATTTTTGATGACATTTTACACCCAAGAGTCTGGAACACTTCTACATATGGCAGACTCCTGGACATATTAATCTGTAAGTACCAACCTCAAACAATGGATAGTGATAAAAGCAGGTCAAAATGAGCATTAAGAAATGTCTTATAGGGCCAAGGATATAGCTCAGCAGCATAAGCGCCTGCTGGGCAAGCACAAAGTCCCAGTTTGACTCCTGGCACAAAAAACAAACAAACAGTAGAAATGTCCTGTAGGGCAAAAGACACAGAAGCAAGTTCCCAACTGGGAACTCATCCTTGATTTGCCCCTCTGTCCCCCGCCTTTCTCCTGAGGCCACTGGCTCTATAAATTGCTAGCACAGTGGTCTGCATACAGTCTCTGTTTCCAGTGACCCTCCTCTGAGAACTGGTCCAGAACAACCTGAGGCACCTCCGGGACCAGTAAATGAGCTTGGGTAGGGCATGGTACAGCCATCTGCGTGTTACCTCCTCCTCCTTCCGGATGTTGCACTGTATGGGAGTGACCTGAGCCTTGCTGCTGAGAGGCAGAGCAGCTTTCAGCTCCTGGGCAGCAGATCTTAGTCTGTCAGAGTTACGGGAGGCAATGACCACATTACACCCTGTGAAGCAAAAAGCCAGAAAGCAAGTCAGTATCTCTCAGGAAATGTACCAATCCAATCATCATAATGTATATACTGTATTTTTTTCTGTTTTTGTCTTTAGACTACTTTTGATAAGTTTTTCACACAGAGATAAATAAACTTTAATATTTAATATTGATCACACTTTAGACTAGTGTGGTAAAGATATTATTTTAGTATTTTAAAATTTTATTTTCACTTGATAAATCACTGCACATCTTTAAGGGTACAGGATATTTATATACATGCATACACTGTGGAATGATCAAATCCGGCTGTGTAACATACCTGTACTGCCATATATGCTTTTTTTTCTGGTAAGAATATTCAAAATCTGCCTTTTTAGTAATTTTGAAATATATACCTTTAATTATAGTCACCATGCTGTGTAGTAGATCATTAGAACTTACCCCTCCTGTGTAACTAAACCTTTGTACCCTTTTCATCACTCTCTCTCCTCCCCCAGTCAAGCTACTTTGATCTAGTTGTACTAGTTTTTGTTTCATTTCCTCATACATTTATAACTGATGGCATAAGAACTTCTAATGCTTTGATAAAAAATTCTTGCAAGTCATGAAATAGTTGTAATTTCCCCCACTGATTACTAAGTTTGCTTTGCTCGGTTTCAGTTTGAACAGTTATTGCCCTGCTCTCACAAATGCCATGCAAAGCAAGGAGTATTGACAAACTGTGAAGTGTGGAAGATAAACTGTGATAGGCCTAATATGTATATTATAAAATCATAAATCATAAACTGTATCTTAAAAATAAAGATGCTTTACAGTTTAAAAAAAAAAGTCAGGGTTCAGGGATACAGCTCATTGGCACAGTGCCTGCCTGGCAAGTTTGAGATTCTGAGTTTAATTCCTGATATCCCCTCCAAAAAAAGTCCAAAAATGAGATAATGGGAAAACTAAAAGTACTAAATTAAAGCACAAGAGAGCAGAAAACAAGAGAAATCAGAAAAAAGAACAGATGAAAGAAATAGAATAAAATTAAGTATTTAATTCCATAGAATTAATTAATTTTAATTAATTTTAACTTAATAAATTAATATTTAAATTCAACTATATTGAAATTCACATGGCATACACATTGTCTGAACACCCCATTTAACCACATAATCTACAACACTGGACGTAAAAGCAACATCTATGTATTGCAAGAAACATACCAAAAGTTAAAGGCATACATAGGTTTAAAAGTAAAGGAATGAAAAAAAAAAAAAAAAAAAAAGACACCCTGTGTCTCAGTTACTCTTTCTCACTGCTGGGACAAATACCCAACAGTCTTTGTTCGCAGAACATGTTCACATAAAAAACATTTGACCCAAGAAAGGTGGCACAGAATGCAAGATACTTGGGAGGTTGAAACAGGAAGATCATAAATTCAAGGTCAGGGGCTGGTGAGATGGCTCAGTGGTCTGAAGCACCTACTTAGAACAAGCTAAGCTAAGCAAAGCACA